GACAAAATGGTATAAATAAAGTTAACCACAGCAGCCACAGACCTGACTAAACACGAGCCCCAATTCGTAAAGAAGATGGCCACTGACCTGGATCACCGAAAACCCCGCAAGATTAAGACATTGAGTACATTTGGCCGAGATTACGGATTACGATCCAAGCCACTGCTGACGACGGTATCGGACTTGCCCACCGAGAACGCCAGATCTGATTCGAGGCCAGCGGCGGCAAAATACAGGAAATTACACCCGACAACAAAGCATTCATGTGACCTACGTGAATAGCAACGCAACCCCAGGCAAACCCGCTTTCGTCCGGTGTCATCGTCAAATGCGACGAGCGCTGCGGGTGATTCAAAATAACCGACTGACTATCAAGGCGGATTAAATCCAAAAATATGCAGCTCGTGATGCAAGTAAGCACTTCTTCGCATCCATTTAGGCAGTCTACGATCACTGAGCCATTTCCTCCGGAACAGTGTCGTAAATTTGTGCATAGGTTGGCGGCCGCCTTGTTTGTAACTTTCCGCTAGAACTGAGACCATAACAAGCGATTTTTCACTGGGCACTTTTTGCACTCCTCTGGTAGTTTTTTTTGCGGGACTGGCGGCCGATCGAAGTCAGTATTTGTTTCCATTTGATATCTATCGGTGATCTCCTCGCCGACTATAACTGGATGGTGGAAATTGCACCTAAAGTGCCCGGCCCAAACGGGCCAGGGTCTGTGATTGCTCTGTTAGCGGCAGCACAGTTCCGGTGGATCAGGGATCGTAGACTGTCTGGATGGATGCGAAGAAATTCTTACTAGCATCACCATCTGCGTAATGTTGGATTTAAACTGGCCTCTTAGTCAGCCAGCTACATTTAATCACCCGCATTGCCTGTCTTAATTTGCGACGGCATAAACAATAAAACACAGCTTTTTTTATCCCGACGCAATAAACTTCGGGGCTTGGAATGTTACCAGCTAATTAGATAACTTGATCTTATTCGTGAGTAAGAGTCGGACTGAGACCTTATGGTACTCTCGCTTACATGAGATCCGCGACAATCTGGCGCTTTCAGATTTCGGCATCAAATCGTGTCATAGCTGCACATTCGGGACGGTGGAGTACATCGTCGTTTGCAGTAGTCCACCTATCGGACCGTACGTCACCTGCAACGAGCACTTCGCCGACATTGCAGTTTGGTCGATCGGTCACCTAATTTGCGAATGCGTAATGAGCGAGTAACAGATCGGTGCCAGTGTCTGTTCAGGATTTTGACATTTTAATGAGAGCTAGGAGGGTGGTGCAGAGTCTGATCCCCGTTCCTGGACCCTTTTCGGCAGTTATCGGATCGCGCATTTGCGGCTTTTTCGGAATCCGCACCGATTTTCAGGAAGAAGATGTTATTTCCAATGATTCGGCAGTACTCTGGCGCAGCTTCTATGCGCATCCTTGAGAAAGGAGATTCCTCTCCGGGAGTCAGTTTCCTTGGCAGTTTCCTTTGCGTTTGTATAAATGAAAAACGATCGAGTTTGTACGTGTAGCCACTCCCATTGTTTAAAACGAGGAACTTAAACCTGGATCCTATTTGGATCGGCCTTACTCTCCCTTCCTTCACCCCCGCTCACCTCACCAGTAATGTCTCAGAGTCCGGATGCCTGAAAATTAAACTGGGCACAACGGTGGACGTGACATGAGCCTCTGTCCACAGGGTATCACGTACATTTTCGAAAATACTTAATGAGACACAAACACAATACGCTCCTTCCCAGGCGACCGAAGGATTGTGACAGAGAAACGGTCATCCGTTCCTGTCCGGCTGGCACTATTTTCAGGCTCCTAACTACCCAGTTCTTGTATGAGTTTAAGGTAACTGTCAGCTTCTGTTCGTTTTTTGTATACTTCGATATTCAGTTTCGTGGGGGATAATTTTCGATAGCTGGCATTTCTTATGAGTATTTCTGAGATCATTTTAATTCCTTACCTCGTTTTGTAATTATTATCATTACTTTTTTTTACAATTGCCACTGCGTCATTTAACCAACATGCTATTTTTCGATATGCTAGTTTAAAACTCTCAGCGTAATCCAGTTGGAATAAAAGTCTATCCTTCATTGGCTACACCTCAATCTTTTTAGTAGATAGGACCAACTTGCTTCAGAATCTAGTCAGAAGGTATACGCTTACGGGAACTGTCAAAGGAGTCTGTTTCTGACTTATTGACTGTACTTTCTTAGGGTGCCCGACCCGCAAGTTGCGTTGTCATCTATTGACAGTGTTTCTTTGTCATTAGGCAAAAGAAACTTATTTGTCTTTTTGTTTCATCAACTAGAGTAACAAATCCCCTCCAGGGAATTGGATACAAACTCGAGGGTAACATGGGTAGTACCAAGTCCAATCCAAGCAAACGGCACCGCGAACGTTTGAATGCCGAGCTGGAACACTTGGCCAGTCTCTTGCCCTTTGAACAGACTGTCATTGCCAAGCTGGACAAGCTTTCCATCCTGCGTCTGGCTGTCTCCTACCTCCGTATGAAAGGCTACTTCCAGGGTCAGTAAAAAAACCCTTCTGTGTCCTATTTATTTATCTATTGCGTGATACGACCGTGTTCAAAAGTAAATCTGACTGTACAATGTTTAAAAACCACGGGTTATTTCTTTAGTCCTGTGGCTCCGTGTACAGTACTGTCTCTCAGAGGTTGTGCCTTCGCACTCTTGAGGGCTCGATTTCAGCTCAAAAGCTGTCCTCAAAATTCTAGCCCTAAGAACTCAGCGGCGACGGCTTTAGGCTTCCATCGTGGTTACCGATTCCTACTTAGGGGCTTCTTTAAAGCAGGCTTTAATGGAGACATTGCTGTCGGCTTATCGTGTGGATGGGCTTCTTACACCCCCCTGAAAAGGGTGTCGTCGAGAGAGAAGGCTGAACGTAGGACAAACCTTACCATGGTTACCTAGGCGAGGTCATTATAACAAAGAGCGATCGAGAAAGAGTTAAGCCGTTAATTGCTCGAAAATCATAGGTCCACGTGCTGGTTAGACTTCTTGTTACTGTCGCAAGGCTAAAACGCATATGCTGTGCTGGTAGAATCATTTGGTCTTAACTAAACCGTCTAGATCCGTTAGTAAGTTCCGGGCATGGACAACTTGTATGACCGCCTAAACAAGGCACGGGAAAATGAACCACCCCCGATATATGTGACTTTACGTTGAATTCCGGGACATTCGGTCTGGGAGTACGGTGAGGGTACGGGTTAGGATTAAAGTTGGGTTGATGTTAAGGTCAGGAATATATAAAGATTTAGTGTTTGCGTTCGTGTTAACTTTAGGGTGAACGTTACAGTTTAGTTTTATGTTGGATTCTTTTGAGGGTTGAGACACAGGGATATTTGCCCTTCTTGAAATATATCGCAAGCCTACCCACTATCAAGCGGGCGGGGCGTTCCTATTCCCGTGCCCTGTTTGAGCGGCCATACAAGTCATCCTTATCATGAACTTTCCCAAATGCCTAAGGACTAGGCTGTATTCTAACACAAACGATTTTTTACCCTAATTTGTAAACTTTATTAGTATGGGGGCTCGAACTCCAACACTGTTCAGGTAAACGGTTTGCGTGAAGGAAAACGCACAGTGTTACTTTAAAGATTTGACATTGGCTTCGAGACTTCGCTTCGTTAGGCCCCTTGAAAGCACGTAAAGCTGCGTAAAAGCAGTCCGTGTACCTTGAGCAGAAGAGACTTGCAGTTGGATATGATGCAACACCTTTCAGCGCTCCCGCAATCGAACAGAGGATAAGGTGAGGATCGTCTTCTGGTTCGTAAACGCATGGCTATACAAGAACATCTTGGAAACCCGACATTTCAATTGAAAGTCCGTTAGAGTCCTGATGACGTAGAGATGGAAAACCATCGTATTTTTATGAGCCTAAAATTATGATTTATGAGTTACTTCTATTCGTAGTTAGCAGTTAAGAAAGGACCTCTATTGAGGTACACCGAATGCACATATTTTGTTGCTCGACAAAACAAACAATTGTTGCGCGCCTTTCGGGGTTCACCCTATAAGCCAGGAGTACGGAAGGCCACTTGGAATATGGTCTAAAACATTATTACAACATTTATCCTCTGTGGATTTTAAATTGCTTCTGGCGTTATTGGCTTACCGTAGAGACAAGCTTATTATTTTGAGCAAACTAACATATGCACAAGGCGAAGATCACTAGATTAGCAGAATTTAATGACGCCTTGTACAAATTTCTTCCGGGAAAACAATGCTTCAAACGAACATCTACTGGAAAGTAGACATAAAGCAGCATGCGAAGTCCGATCTTTCGGCTTTATGTGAAGAGGTCCTGGCGATAGGTACACTAGGGGCTGATGTCTGCACTTACCACTGCATTTATGCCATTTAAATAGACGGTTAATCGAATCCTCTCTCATGTGATCAGCGCAGGTCTCGAGTGTAATAAATATATCTGCCCTGGAAAGGGAAGTCGTTCGGTTATTGCGACTGTTGAATTGCAAGCCCTACCGGCAGGGGGTGGGGCGTGTATATATTCACGCCAGTCATTGCTGAAGACGATGACAGGTGGAGGCTGAGGTTGGGACGGAGGGAGGGAGGGGGGGGGCTTGAGGATGTGCGGGTTCAACTTTTGTGCCCCTCTGTCTGAGGACGTGAAGATATCGCCGGCAGCAAACAACTCGACGTCTTCTACGAGGTGCAGCATAAATCAGCCAGTTTGTTGATGACAGCCATGCGGAGCAGGCCAAACAGTTAATTCTAGTTACGGCTGCCTGCGCGTGAGCAAACTGCG